CCCGTGGTGGCGCGCTGGCAGCCCGTGCAAGGGCGGCTGCGTGACCGTGCTCCAACCCCGCGCGCCTGCCGCGCCGCTCGCGCGCTGCCTCTGGCTGCAGCTCTGCTGCGAAGGGGTCTCCTCACCCGGCCTCTGCGCTGCTCGTCCCGGCACACGGCACGTGCTGCAGCAGGGCGGCACTGGGCACTGACGGGAGAAGACCCTCCACCTGGATTCACCTTGGGGAGTTGTCCGGCTGCAGCTTTCCCGCCCCGACGGTTCCCGTTCCCCACAGAGAGCACGGAGACCCTTCACTTAACAGTGAGCGGCTCCGCATGGGCCGGCCACTCGGGCCAGATCGCTGCTGTGAACTGGGCAACGGGAATGTTGTGGGATGGTAAAGGACACAGAGAGACCTGGCGCTGTGCAGCGCGGTGCCTCCTCCAGAGGCAGAGACCGGCAGCTTTGCTGGCCTGTGGCCTTCCTGCCTGGGAAGAGACAGCTTGAGAGCCTGGTCCTGGACTGAGCAGCCCCAGAGCCGTCTGCTGGACACGCGGCCCGAGGCGCCCGTCTCCTCCCAGGCCTGCTGAGCACCCGGTGCCTTGCTGGCGGCGTGCCGTCCTCCTGGTTACCTGCAGGGTGCCCTCGGGGTACCTGTCAGCGGCTTGGAAAGCAACGTCTGCTGCTTTTCATGCTAGCCCCACATCTCTGACCAGAAAATTCCTGAAAAATAAAATTGAATGAAGAAAACCCGCCCAAGCCCTGCAGCTCCTTCCAATTTGTGATGGATCCTTTGTCTGACAATGGAGGATAAGGGGTATAATTACATAACCTGTCATCTGTGTGGTTGCGAGCGGGGGGAAATGTCAAAGAGTTGCCATCCCTTTGGTCCTGCCCATGGAAGGGCTGCATGGAGGGCACAGAGCACCACGAGGCTGGACATCCTGCTTGAGCATTGCCTATGCCTATGAGCATTGCCATTGCCCATCTCTGCTTCGGGGTCTGCCAGTGTTTCTTGGCCCTGCTTGGGACTGTCGTACATGTGGGTGAGGAGGAGAGAGGGGAGAAGCTCGAAGGGGTAAGATGAAACCTGAGGAGTGGTTTTTGCAGAACTCTGTGGAGATAAATGGGAAGGAAAAGGGTGATGACAACTCGCAGCAAAGGCAGAGGTTGCTGCACGTGAAGAAGAACCCGCACTGCGTGCGCTCCTGGGTAAGCAAGCCCACAGATAGTGGGCATGACATGATAAGGCAGCAGGTAAAACCAGACCTGTCACTGCTCATAGATTAAGCTGTAAGAGGCCTGGTTTCTGATTTTTGGCTGCCGAGAGCCAATTAATATTTTATGGTATTGGGTCAACCTGTAGCTGGTTGTGCTCTATAAACTTGCATTTAAACTTTCTTCTGCTAATTCTCTAATTTTCTGTTTAAGCTGTGGGAAAAACACTGTTGCCTCTAAAGGTAACATGCTCAGGTATATGCCCTTGTGCTTGACACTGTCTCTGACAGCCTGTTAGAGCATGGGGGTTTTCCCACTGACAAGTCTTAGCAGGTAAGTACCGGACACAAATTCTGTGAATTGGGAGGTACAGGAAGATCATTCACAGTGGGAAATTATTTGATTTATACGGAGGTCTTGAGAGAGCTCCTAATCAAGAGCAGACCACCAAAGTGTGAAGTGCTCTGGATCCTAATTATCCGAAACATGACCCTATTCTGTCTTTTTGAGCCTGCCTTGTCAGAAGTGGCGCAAGGCCAAGTCGTGCTGCCGTGACAAGAGACTGACTGCCTGCTGCCATCTGATGGCTTTAAATACCACTGCCTGGAAATAAGACATGCTGTGCTGTGCTCTCCCGGATCTGTTGAGCTGGTGGTTTCACACGTCTTCCTTTAAATTCATGCAGAAAAGTAAGCATAGGTTTCCTTTTTGTGTCTTCCATCCTTGCCTTATATCTTGCTGTTCCATTTCACCAAAAAGCTGGGAAAAATAAGGCAGTTCCATTATCCACCTCAGCTCTTCCCACTCCTGTTCCCCTTTCCACGAAGACCCAAGCCAGAATAGTACTTCCTCTGGCCGGAAAAAAGAGCTGCTAACGAGAGAGTATTTCTCAGTGGTGGAGCAGGAGGGTGCTTTCATGACACAGAGCTTTCCAATGTTGTTTTCAGAGCTGGTTTCACAGCGGCGCCGCTCCTTATTCCCAGCTGCCCTGAAATGCATGGTTGTGTTTACTCGTGCTTCCACAGTATTCCCAGGGATGAATTTGATTTTGCCACAGGGAGCCCAGGAATTCAGAAGTCGTGCTGAGCTCCATCAAGGCCAGTTTACTTCACCATGGCTTTGAGAAAAAAAACAGGGAAGAGGAGGAGTTGGGAAGCGAGGCCGGTTTTCCCATCTCCTTACCCTAGAGCTTCTGCAGTATTTTGTTGACACTCTGGTTGTTTTCCTTTGTGTAACAGGATTCCTTTGATGCACGGGGAGTTTCTCAGAGAACTGTGGACAAAGAATGACAGAAAAAAAAAAAAAAAGAAAAATAATATAGATTAGGAGTGGAAAGAAGGGAGAAGGACATTTCAGAGTAGAGATAGAACCCGCTGTATATTTTGTCTTGATTTTTTTACAGCTTTCCTACTGAAAGCATTGTCCTGAGTTTATTTAAATAAAACAAACCTAAATATTAAAACTGTCTCCATTTTTTTGTTTTTAAGGCTTTGTCTGAGCTTGGAAGCCTCACTCGGTCTCTCTTCGCTGCATTTTCGCTCCTCACTGGCAGAGGCCTCACCTGGTCCCTTGAGCTTAGCTCGTGCCTGGTAAGTAAGCTTATAAATACCCTCATAAGCTCGTAGCTGAGTGTATGAACTTGCTCCCGGCCAGTACAAAACAGGCTGGCGCCTGGGCTCACTGGGTGCAGATAGGCAGCCAGCCCGATGTGCGGCCACTGTCCCGGAGAGAAACACGCAGACGTCGTTACCTTGTCCCTGAAACCTGGACCAAAATCCCCCGGGGCTTGGAGACCTCTCGCTGCTTCCCGAGGAGGAAGGGTCGACATCTGCCCTGCGCTGGAACAGGACGAACATTGGACAGCCTCTGAGCCGCCCCGGCCACCGCTGCTGGATCGCAGCCGGTGACGAGTCCTACGGGAGCCCTGCGGTCAGCACAGGATTAATGCAGAGTGGATGTGGCCTCCTGCTGCCTCTGGCCCTGAAGCGGAAACCCTTGTGATGAATGACTTTGTCAAGGATTGTTATTTGTTGTTCTATTTAACCTTTTATGCATGACATTTAAGCATGACATTTAAAATTTTCAGATTTAACATTAGCATGATGTATTTAAAATTTTACAGCGTGACACCAGCACTTGGTGGGAAAGCTGAGCAATACACTTGCTTGGAAAATCTGTTTGTTTGCTGCAATTTGCAAGATTTTTGAAAAAAGCGCATTATGTCTTTTAGTACTCAGCACTTACTCAGCACTATTTCCTATACATGGTTTAGAGTCTGTGAAAGCCGCTGCATGTCATCTTTCAGTTGTTATTCCTATTGTCAGCAGGGTGATAAAGTGTTAGGATAAAGTCTCTGCCACCAGCAGAACACAATGTAAAAATGAAAAACGAGTGGAAAATCTAATAAACCGGCTGCACTTCAGAAGGGATTTTACAAGCAGCTTCTCTGGGCAGAAGCTGATGTGATTGTGTCCCCTTCAATTAACTTTTTAATTAAAAAAAATGGAAGATATGATTTAGTGTGGAACAAGGTAATGCTCTGGAGAGATTTCTGTGGTGGTGTCCTTGAGTACAGGAAAACCTGTTTCCATTTGTGGTGTGGCCACTTTTGAGAGTGTTCAAGGCTGAAAATGCCAGGAGTGTGTGTGCTGGCTGCAAACACTAAATCGTGATGATTAGTGCTGGCTCACAATGCAAAAGCCACTGATTTGTCCCCTTTTAGAGTGGTCCAGTAGGAACCAGTGGATAATAAGATAAAATAATGTATTGGGAGATTTCATGTCCAATATTTGAAGACAGTGAAATTTCAAGCACACTATTCAGCATTCCTGAAATGGCCCCTCTGCAACCTGACTAATTCATGCAGCCCTTTCTGCAGATAAGCAGAGGGATTTGTTCTTCCCATGTGGTAAAGAAGAAACGCTTTGCCACGCACAAGAGTACATGTGGTTCCCCAGCATCTGCATAACAAAACAGAAGGGCTGCAGTAGGG